CAGACGTTGCGCTGCCTGTGCGTGTCACTGCCGCCCTTGCCCTGCAGCCTCTCATCAGACATGACATCATTCGCACCAGCATGCAACAGAGCATCCCTACCATTATGCAGCAGCTGCTTAAGCTTGCCAACGAGGCCGATATTGATGCTCTCGCCAACGTTATGGAGGATTTCGTTGAGGTCTTCGCCACCGAGCTGACGCCATTCGCGGTCGCTCTCAGCGAGCAGCTGAGAGACACCTACCTCCGCATTGTCCGCGAAGTTCTGGACAAGAACAAGGATAATGGCGAGGATGAGTTTGGCGACTACCTTGATGAGAAGAGCATCACTGCTCTCGGTGTTCTTCAAACCATTGGAACTCTCATCCTCACCCTTGAGAGCACTCCCGATGTCTTGCTTCACATCGAGGCTGTTCTCATGCCTGTTATCCAGGTGACTCTTGAGAACAAGCTGTACGACTTGTATAATGAAGTCTTCGAAATCATTGACAGCTGCACATTTGCTGCCAAGGGCATCTCTCCCACCATGTGGCAGGCTTTCGAGCTCATTCACGCCACCTTCAAGGCTGGTGCCGAGCTCTACCTGGAGGACATGCTCCCCGCCCTGGACAACTTTGTCCAGTACGGAGCTGGTCAGCTGGTGCAGAAGCCCGAGTACATCGAGGCTCTCTTCTCCATGATCTCCGATATGTTCAACGACAACAAGGTTGGAGGCGTTGATAGAATCTGCGCTTGCAAGTTGGCTGAGGCTATGATGTTGAACCTTCGCGGCAACATTGACAACTATGTTTTGCGCTTCATCGAGTTCGCCATGACCGTCCTCACTGCCCAGGATGTGAAGGTCAAGGCTTACAAGATCCACCTCATGGAGCTAGTCATTAACTCTATCCATTACAACCCTATTCTTACTCTCCACATTCTCGAGACAAAGGGCTGGACTAACCGGTTCTTCAGCTTGTGGTTCGGTAGCATGTCCAACTTCACCAGAGTGCACGACAAGAAGCTATGCATCGTCGCCATCGCGGCTCTGCTCAGCCTTAAGGCGGACCAGGTTCCTCAGAGCATTGCCGTCGGATGGCCTCGCTTGCTGCAGGGTGTTACTGAGTTGTTCAAGACGTTGCCTGCTGCTATGAAGAACCGCGAGGAGGCACTTCGGGATGATTACCACCTCGACGCTGGCACCTACGACTATGGTGAAGAGGACGAGTGGGCTGAAGACGAAGCCAACTGGAACGTCGAGGACGAGCCCGAGGAGGAGGAGACCAACGAAGGTCGTGATGAGAGCACTGCGTACCTGGAGTTTTTGAACGAGGAGGCCCAAAAGTTCAGCCGGGGTGTTGATGACATTGAGTCCGAGGACGACCTTGGAGAGGATAGCGTTCTGCTTGAGTCTCCTCTGGACAAGGTGGACCCCTACCAACTTTTCAGTGCGACTTTGATGAGTAAGTTCCAGGCAGTACTGGCTTGTATGAATAGAGGCTAATTCCTGAGCAGAGATGGAAGAGGAGCAACCTCAATTCTACCAGTCTCTGGCGTCACACCTCACCGCCGAGGACCAGGCTGCCCTGCAGGGCGTCATGCAGAAGGCAACCGAGAATGCCCAGGCTGCCCAACTGGCTCTTGCTCAGCAACAAGGTGCCGCCCCTGTCAACGGTGGTGCTAGCTAAGAGCCCTACCGGAGATTTCATCGATGACCGAGCCGGGCCTCTCATCCCGCTGTGAGGATCGTGTCAAGACTTTAGTGTTTTCTGACCGCCCCAGCTCAGAACTTATGAGGGAGACGCGAGATGATCCGAAGAGCCACTGCCGCAATGCAAAGCCGGCGGACAAGGCTCAAAGCTGCCAACTGTCGATGTGGACGAGCGGCTGCAGGAAAGACTGACGAGGCAAAGATTTACGATTACCCCATTCCTAAAAGATTACAAGAGGTCCAAAAGGAAGAAGATCTTCAAGAGCATTAGAGCGTGCAAACGATGGCCGGAAGCCAGCTGGATATGGGAGCAGATGTATGGAAAGACTGAGTGGTCCCCAAAAAGAAAATACAGCCTCCCCTGTCGTCGGCAGTTGTAGAGGGGAGCAGGCGGGGGGGGAGATGGGACTTGTTGTTGTTCTTGCTCGGATTTTCCATGGGCGCCACAGAGGATGTTCCGATTGTCGTCGTCATAGCCGTCTTTTTTTTTTACCGGCGGCAGGCATAGCATCGTACGGGAGGCCCGCGTGTTGTGTGGATGTATAGCTCATGATGCGCCCAAGGTCGTAAGCAGTTAAAATTCCCCCAAATCCTCGAACAATTCAAAAATCATTTCAACGGACCTTGGTCTCGTTGTCCTTTACATGTTGAGGGGATCCTTTGAAGGGATATGGATGTACAAACGATCACACAACCAGCGTTCCAATTCCTTTCTTTCAATGCGGTTCCATTCCATCAAGGGTATGGTCCGGTGGTGATAATATCGTATGAGGTGTTCATAACTTTAGAAGGGGCCATAATAAGGCGATGGGATGATTGCTTACTCACTCGTCATGACCGACACGTATTGTGCCTTCGCGTTAAGGTTGAATATATGACTACTTTTACACCTCGTCTCTATGCAAACATTGCTTGGTATACAAGGTAGTCTAGACGCTGCCGTATGCACGAACATCGTATGATTACCAAAAAGGGTAGTCAGAGGAGGGTGGAGGAGGTGATACGCGAATAGACAGACCATCCGCGCACTTTGGACTGTAGAGAAAACAACACAGACACAGACATCATCCAGGCAAGCAAGGTTGTGCAAAATGTGCAAAAAGGATACATGCAACACCAGGCATTCGCCAGTCGTCACCGACCTGACTACTACTCTGGCCCTCACTGGCTTGTCTATGGGAGAGCGGACGGGATCCCGAATTTTCCAGTGGGTGTGGTCGCATGTGTTGGAGATAGTGGTTGGGGACGCTGATGATGGGAGAGATGCGCGTGAGGGAGCGGCTTGGGAACGTTCTTACACCAACTATGGATACCTATCTTTGTCGTTGGTTTCGTAGCAGACCATATGTCGGGATTCTCGAGGAAGGAAATGGATTCCAGGCTGGTGAGTGATTGACTGACCTCGGGGACGATCGGCGAAGGCGCGAATGCTCAGACATTCGATGTTGTCTAGCTATTCAAATAGCCCGAGCAGAAACCGGACTCGCATGACTACCGGGTACGTAAAAACCACGGCATTGATACAGATGTGTCCCAGTTTCACGTTCCATGAGTTAGGTAAGGTAGGAAGCGCATAATGGCTTTGGATACAACTTTGCAAAGCAACTGGATGTTAAGCGAAGCCTATTCAAGTCACCAGGCTGGGGTGTTCATGAATGTAACACAGCTTTTGAGATGGACAACACAGACTGTGATGGTACTTACAATGTTCCGCAGGCCTTCTAGTTCTACTTCATGAAAAGATGAGAGGCATGTGAAGCGACTGCTTGGGGTAGAAAACATCTGAGGTCTGACGGACTCACCTTTCGTTCATCAAGTTCCAATAGGCCAACTTGCTCGTATACCTCTATGCGTCCTGGATATACCTCGCTCCTCGCTCAAATATATAGCAACGCCATCATATTAAGCCCATTCCCTCCGTCTTTTTTCTCTTGTGAACATCGCCTTCGATCTCTTGAGTCATTATCTTTTAAGGAGACAAAATCCGACACAAGTCGACGAAAGGGAAGGGACCTTTTCAGGAAACACGACAGAATCGGCCACCTTCCCTCAAAAGACTCCTCTCGCGGAAGGTATGGGCAAAACTGGAAATAAATCTCGGATCATTCTCACCCACTGAACACACCTGCTCCCTTCCACACCAATAAATGCGACAGAGCTTGGGCATCTACCTGGCCATTCCTCGTGCATCTTTCGCTCTTGATTGTCCCACAGGACAAGAAGAATAGTCTCTAGCGCAAAAAGAACAAGATTCACCACTTGGCTATCCGCGGCTCACTCGTCCCCGGTCAGACTCCGTTCCTGTGTCATCAGAAATCCTGCGAAATGTCTACAGGCTGAAGCTTCCTCCGGAGCCTACCAAAATTCTTGCAGTCCCGAGAAAGGAAGCTTCAAAATGCTATGATTCCGAGCCGGTTTTACCAAAGAGGCTGCAGAAGGCAGGCTCAGCTGGAAACCGTTCCTTCTTTCTCGGGCCCTGGCTCTCTTCCTTCTGCCTTTTCCCAAGCTCCCACCTTTCCATCTTCATTTCTCGGACGTAGTCCGCTTCAAGCAATCTCGTCATTGGAGCCCGCTAGACAGGAACTGCCGCAGTCGATTGTACTTTCCCAATCCGCTTCTGTTGGCCAAATGACAGCCAAACCAAAACCAACTTCCTCCAACAGGCTCATCACCACCGACTCGCCACGGACAACGACAGCCTCACTTCAGCATCGTACGACACAGTTTTCTGCTCAGAAAGAAGTGGCCTCTCCGTCAAAGTCCGCCCTGATGCCGGCGAGCGTGATCCGCAGGCCATATAGCGGTCGAAAACTCAATGGCTGTGAGAGATGGGCCAAGCGCCACAAGGATCCCATTTGCAGCAGCTGCCCAGCCTGAAATAAGGCTATCAAGAATGAACTTGCCGCCTTCCTGTGGGATTAGGTTCAGAAGAAGCCAATCGCCCTCAATGGGCAGTAGATTTATCATCATTTCATGGAATACCTTACTGGGAGACACCCAAGAATGGGCAACGGGCTCATCCAGCGCCAATGATAGAGTTGATCCGACGCTCTAATGGTCTCACTCTGCCGCAGGAGATCGTCACCGAGCTAGAAACGGCAGGTTGGGACGCGGAAAAGTGCTGTAATCCAACATTGCCACCCCATAAGAAGAAGTTTACCAGAGTATCACCTAAGCTGAAGCGTGACTCTGGGGACCTGGAATCCGAGTCAGAAGACAACTTGGAAGAGATTCTGGCTCAAGGACAGAAGCAACAGAGGGCAACGACTATCAGCAACGCAATTCCGTTGATTAAAGATCCAGCAGACAAGGATGTCCAGCCTTCCGGCCAACCTTGTCGGCAGGCTTCACCTTCTGCGGAAGCTGGAACAACCAGAGTGGAGGGAGGGGACGTCATTGCCGTCACTCAATTCTCAGTCCATAAAGCTCCCCATGACGACTGGCAGTCAGGAGGGCGAGTCGGAAGCTGAGGCATCAGCCAGTCAATATCACCGAGCCATGCCCGATGCTGGAGTTGAACGCTCTCCGAGTACCGATGCCGTCGTCACGTCTATAGAACAATCGGAAGATGACCCTAGGTCACCCATATTGATCCAACACAACGTGCCCTCCTTGCCCAACAGTCCCCAGGGTAATAACTCATCCTCCTCGAAGAAAAAGGAGCGAATTTCCACGGAGGAGCTCAAGCGAGCCCTGCGCAAGGGCAAGAAGCTGGCTACTCTCTCAGGTAATTCCACTTCTCAACTCCAAGACCAAGGTGGTCGGCTTCTCGACCACACACAGAGACTCGGCAAGCTCATGAGCTTCGTTGATGAACTGGCCGAAGAGATATCTGCACACACCATCGAACTAGAGGCGCATTCCTCTCTACTTGAGAAACAAAGCCTCGCCCTGGCCCAGCTCCGCAACGACAACCAGACCCTTCGAGCGCGCCTCTAGGACGTGATTCTCCCCCTCGACCAGGCCTTCAATGCTATGCACAAGTCGAGCAAGGCCGACAAGAGAGCCCTCAAGTCGAACGCCAAGAGGGTCAGAAAGGAGCTGAAGGCGTTTGAGTCTGCAGGCAAGAACGCCAAGGCTCTGAAGCGAGGCACGCGTCATATCGGCCAGATCTTCACGGCTTCCATAGGCGACAGATTGGACCGAGGTGGCTACGAGCTTGGAGAAACTGGGGGAAGTAGATTCGTGTGAAGGGAAAGAGATTTGCGCTGAGCCATGGTTCATGTCATCAGCGTAAAGAAGAAAAGCACAGAGCCAATTTGGAGAGTGCCTACTACGCACGGCGATCTATCGATGTCATCGCTTTGGTCCATCAACAGGATCTGACTGAAAGCAACTTCAGGTGACAGTGGTTGAGCGTAAACCACGAGATAGATAGGTAGACAGACACGGGTGCATAAACTTTTTCGTTAATTCAAATACGGCGATTTCATACCTCATATCCTCGCCTGTTTCCTTGGGATAATAAGTCGATAGAGTGACCAAGAAGGACGACGGCGAGGACGAGGATCGGTCCATCTCGGCGGGGGTAAACCTGCTTCACAAGTGTCACACAGAGATGAGAGCATCTGCCTCACGAGATGCATTAACCGCGAACGAGCAGAGTCAAACACGTCAACAAGACAAAAACCATGGCCTAGAAACGTTTGAATTTGAGTAAGAAAGTGACATCATCGCCCCATGACGGGATGAAATACCCAAGACTCCATGACAATGCAACCGAAAAAGATTCGAGTCAAGCTTTAAAAGAGGGCAAAGGAGCGCATGACAATCTTGCAATGGGCAGCTTGTGAGCCTCCCATGACCAAATGAGAAGGATCACGACTTTCAGCAGACCTCTGACGCTCACGAGGATGATCTTGCGTCGACGTCCTGCCCGTACCTTGATCCATCCGTTGAAATAAGCAACAACCTTCCCTCCGTACACTTTCCACTCCTCAGACGACTGCATCAAGGCGTTACGATCCAAGTTTCTCCAGCTGGCCCCTGTTTGCCAAGCTCTCACGAACCATTGGCCATCGCATCAACATCCATCCCAACCTTCAGTGACAGCGAACAGGAAGCTTTCATCGCATAATTCCACTTTGGTATTCCAAACAACCAAAACTTTCGTGACTCTGACATCATTTCGTTTCATCTTTTAGACCCCTTTCGTAAACAGCTTTGCTCACTCTTACAGAGAGAGTCTTCATAGAGCAAAAGAATCAAAAACGCATTTCATTATTTTTCCTTTATCGTAGAGTTCAGTTTTCCTCGTCATCTTCCTCAATGGGCGCCGGTGTCCGTCGCTCTGTACGTCTCTTGGGTCGTCGGTGGCGGGAACTGCTAATGTTACTCGCCGAATCATCGGGGGCCAGCTCGAAGTCGTCGCCTCCCCACTCGCTGTCGCTGTTGGCGTCGTAATCGCCTTGAGCCCAGCTGGGCCGCTCGTAGCCTGATGACTGCGAGTTGCCGGAGCCCGGATTAGGCAGGACATCAATCCGCCGCCGGCTTTGAAGGCTGTGCATCAATCCTGCTCCGCGGTTGCGCAACCCCGTCCGGACGACTTCGGCCCTGAGGTGAAGGGCTTCAAATGCGTCCTCCAACGCCTCCATGCCCTGGTAGATTTCTCGCTCTACTTCTGCCAAGACGGCCATCTCCATCTCCTCGTCTCGGGATACTGCTTGCTTGTTGGCCGCCGCGGATGATGCATTACTCACAAATGACGCAGGGGTAGCGCCGCGAGAGTAGGCGGAGAATGGTGTAGTGTTGCGAGATGCTGAGAAGCCTGGCGTTCCTCGCACACTGGGGCTCATGGTCCCCGGCCGAGAGGGGTAATAATTGCTCGCAGGGGTGGCGCCGCGCGAATCGGCTGTGGGCGTATCATCGCCATCAGCTCCAGACCAGAGGAAGCCATCGAATCTGCCCGAAGTCAAAATCTCCCACTCTTGCGTGTTGATATCGGACATAGTGACAAGGAGGTCGTGGGTGTGGGGGTTCTTGACGAGGTACATGGCAACCTCTGCATCTCGGGGTACTTGTTGCAATCGATAAAGACGTTGCAGGGCCAAGCCAGCTCTGACAAGAAGATCCGGGCGGGGACGGTGTAATGGTGTAGGAGCTCTTGTTGCCGGCTTAGGGTGGTTGGAGCCAGCCAAGATTGCGTTAAAATACGGCTGGTCTTCAGGATCCATGTTCGTGAGAATTGCAAATGTGAGCGTCTCGTCGTCTACATCTTGGGGTGGGGGCGCGGTGGTCTCTCCGCAGGTGTTGAGCCACTTGTCCACGGCTCCCCTGACTTTCTTCGACTGTCTGAGGTAGTGCTCACGGAACTCTTCGGCAATATCAGGATCGATCTTGACTGGTGAATCGGGCCGCGGTGGCAGCTCTGCCGATACTTCGGCGGCATTGGATCCCAAGCTTGCCAGGTCAAACGGCGGCCACTGCGGAAGATCGATGCGGCCACTAACCCATTCAAGAACTTCGCCCCAGCCCAGGCCGCGATGCTGAATGTCAGGGCCCCTCTCGCAAACTACACAAGTGCATCCATGCTCAGGAAGCTCTCTGGAAAAGACGTTTTCAAGGCGGTCTAGAAGACGACGAGCTACTGATCGATGACCAGTGGCAACTGCTACTGAGCCGTTACGGCCGAGAACCGAGTTATATTGGTCCAGTAGGTTGAAAAAAGGGGCGAATAAAGTTTGCGGGCCGACAAGGGGTGGGTTCGATGGCCGGGCGCCATTCTGGCGAGGCAGAACAGAAAGAAAGGTTTTGGGGATTGGTTGAATAAGTCCGCCATTCTGTAAAAGGTAGTCGACCCGTGGCGCTTCCTGTACATCCAGCGCCGGAGGTGGTGGTGGCGGAGGAGGGGGTCCCGTAGGAGGAGGCATATCAGTCATTGGAGTGGCCGATGGTGTAATGTCGTTTTCGGGATAAACCTGAGGAGGGGGCCCTAGAGGCTTGTCACTCATAGCGAAGGGTGGCGGGAACGGCGGCGCTTGTGTAGGGGTCCTGGGAGACGAGTCCTGCAGACTCTCGGGGGATGAATCACCATCGTGATACTCTGACCGCCGACTTTTCTTGCTCGACGAGCTCCGCTTTGAGGACGACCTGGAAGTGCTCGGCTTGATGTTCAGGCTTTCTTGAACACCAGGTGGGAATGCTGGCGACTTTACGTACGTCGCCTGACTGCTAGTCTTTGACTTGAAGCTCACTCGGGACTTGTCGTCGGCTCTAGAGCCAGATCTCGAGAGACCACTGAGACGCGAGCTCGGCCTGTCGTCCCGATCTCTCTTGGATGTCTCACCACTGAGTCTCGAGCTCGAGCGCTCCTCGCGCATCTTCTTTGACGACTCCTCAGGGGTGGCCGATCGTCTCTTGCCCGACAGGTCGGTCTCGGGCGGACTAGGCGGCCTCGACTCCTTCTTGGACGAACTTGTGCGCTGCTTCTCGGAGTGATCGACGCTCTGGGATCGCTTGAGCTCGCTATCACCCAGATCCGTGGCCTCGGGAGTGAATGGATCGGCCCTCCTCGTGACACCTACGCCGGATCCTGACACATCCTCGCGACTATTGCGGACGGCTTCTTTGCTGTGTGCCTTGCTGAAGGACGGGTAGGGAAGCGAGATACGGTCAGTCGAAGCCGGACCAGTCAATGAGGTCCGAGACATTTCGGGAATCAGGTCGGTCATGGACGAGGAGCGATCGTGAGCGCGATCTCTCTCTCGGTCGCGGTCTCGTTCTTCACGGGTGCGGTGACGGCGGTGGGAGTAGGAATGCGTATCACTGCCGAGGCCGCTGCCGTCTGCTATTTTCGATTTGGAGGAGCGGGAGCTCACGCGGTGGGGTCTGTGTTCCCTATCTCCCTTCTCTCTGTCGGTCCTGCTGCTGCGCTCTGATTTGCTTCGGGAGGCCTTCTTCTCGCTCTTGTCACTCTTCTGGGCCTCCTTGCGCGGGCGCATGTCCCCAAAGTCGGGGAGGGGGATTACTCGGCCATCAGCGTCGACATCGACCTCGATGTCACGATCTTGGGAGGACATGGCGGAGCATGGATGCGTAGCCCGAAAGCTAGCCGAATGCTGTGGGGTTTCGAGTCGGAGCAAGAGGTTGATGGGGTCGAAATACTGTCGGCACACCGAGTTAAAGGTAAGAAACGACCGACAGTGAGTTGCGAACGAGGGTGGGTAAGAAAGTTATGGGAGCCAAATGCAAAGCGGACCGTCGTTCGAGTTTAGGGTTGGATGGTTCAAGTGTTTGGGTGTCGAGAAAGCTGCGGAAAGGAAAAGGAAGCAGGCAGGACCTGGTCCGGGGTTTTGCTCACCGACCCAAAGTCGTCGAAAGCAAGCCGGGAGTTGTCACAAAACTGGGGAATTTCTGGAAAAATGCGCACCCCTGACTTGGACCGAACGGTAGGTGGCGGGGGAAGAATCCGTTTGGCCCGTCGTTTGCTGCGTCTTATGTTTGAGCGTTAGGAATGCGGTTAAACTTTCAAGGTCGTCGTCGGGTCGTGGTAATGGAAATGATGCATGAAGCAAAAGAAGGACGAGACGGGATATGCCCCAACCGAGCAACTGAATGAGTGCGAAGTCATGGGCAGACCAGGCGGAAGGGAGAGAGTGGGAGGTGGAAAGACGGGCGGTTGCACGCAGTTGACGAGCAACGCAGCCGAATGTGATTCGATCAGAGGAGCCCCCCCGTCGGACGTTGGAGGGAGCTGGGCGGGTTGGTTGGTACTTCGGGTACAGGTAGGCTGGGCGGGTCCACAGTTGAGAGTTGAGAGGCAGGTCCCTTACCTGGAGGTACTCTAGGTAAGGTTAGGTACCTAGGTACTACGTACTTTTCCTTGCGTGCCTCACAGAGGAGCAAGAGCGAAGGGGGTGGAGAAGAATAACGGGGAGATGGATGTCAAGGGAAGGCAGGTGAAGAGAGATTTAGAGCAGGCGGTGACACATGTCCCCTCTGCTGCACACTCAGTACTTTGGTGCCAGTAAGTGAGTGATTTGGTGAGAGGGAAGGAGGTACCGATAGACCTGAGGCCAGAACCTGACGTGGCACCGGGCTGAGTTGCGCCTGGATGCAATAGGACTGTGGGAGGTCCCTTGGGATCCACAACGGGCACTGCCAGAAGCTCGGGCCACGAAGATTCCATCACCCAGTGTCCCGCCATCAAACATGGTCTCTGCACACGGCTCACAGCTAGCTGGCGATGCGGTAGGAGGACCGTGCCGAAATTGTTGAAAGCTCGATATCGTACGGTGTGACATCTTCACAACCACCAGCTCCCAATGATTTAAACATTAGACACGCTCTGTCTATGTAGACTAACGTGTTCCTTGAGGAGTTGGCGCCGCACTTGACGGCGACGTGCAACCAAGCCATTCGACTTGATGAGACTTGTATCCAAACATGTGACTTTTGCACCTAAAGCGCTAAAGTAAGATAAGCACATAAGGTACCTGAGCTGGACCTGGTCCGAAGGCGGTTGCACTGTCTCGGGCCAAGCAATGCTTGAATGGTCCAACCACTGGTTGATTCCTTCTACCTATGCACCAAGAAAAGGTAAATAATTATGAGTCTCGGATATCACAAAGCCATAATGCTCAAAACGGGAAACAACCGAGTGTTCGAGGCAATTCTCTATGCATTCGTCGTACCTCGTACTCTTATCCGTACTGTCTCTCATTTCGAAAGCAAACGAACAAGACCATAAAAAAATACTGGTCACAGTGTTCTGTAACGAGACATTGCTGCCTCATGTTAAAATGCACATGTCTCACGTACCTGACTAAGGTACTGTAGACTCGCTGGCTGCATGTACCTACTTCCCATCGCCTCCAAGAACATCCTTCCTTCCTGTAATCGAACACTTACAATAAGGTACCCAGTATCCGTAAGGTATGCTTCCCAAAATAACCATCCTGGCCCAACCTACCCCTCCTCCCATCCCCATCCCCATCCCCGAACCCCGACCTTCCAATCCACGTCGACCTGTGTCGATACCCCCTTCCCTCCTGCAAAGAATGCGCGTGAACCCGTCCATCGGGCACCAACAACGAGCGTCTCGCCCAATCACCCGCTCTGAGCTAAGCGCCCGAGTTCGTCCCAGCGCTGCATCTCTTACTTCTTTCGCACCACCACCATCATCTCAATCCGCTCGCCTCCGCATTTATGCCATTAAGTGAAAGTGTCTGAGGTAGCTACTTGATCTCGACGACTTCAGTGACTGTTGGCATGTCCTTTCCGTTGCCGTCACGTTGGTTGCTTGTTTAATTCATCAACTCATCGCCACATCATTCAGTTCCGACCAGTTATCAGCATGTCAATCAAATGTAGTTCCATTCCAATATCCAGCCATGCGGGGGAAAAGTGCTTTCCAAAACATCATTCCCCAACCCTAGCGACTATATGATGCTTTATACCATCTGTGTAAATAAATACTCATAAAAATCATCAACAACTTTTGTTGTCCCAGTTTGTCTTCAAGTCTCAACTCCGATATAATATATCCAACCATTTTGCGCTTGAGAGTCTACGCGCATCGCTCTACGCCGTAAAAATCACACACTTTGTCGTTCTTTGCCGCTCTCTGAACAACATTTACAAACGGTCCAGGAGGCCCTGGCTCTCGAGAAGCAGGACAATCTGGTGGACAATGGAGCGGACGGTCTGCTGCTCGAGGTTGACGACGAGGTCAGCCTTGGCGGGCGCCTCGTAGGGGTCGTCGACGCCGGTGAAGCCCTTGATATCGCCGTTGCGGGCCTTCTTGTAGATGCCGCGCTTGTCCGTCTTCTCAGCGTACTCGAGAGGGGTGGCGACGTGGACGAGGAAGAAGGGGCCGGCCTTCTCGATCAAATCGCGGGCCTTTTGGCGGGCGTCGTCAAACGGCGCGATCGGGGCGGCGATGACGGCGGCGCCGGCGCGGGTGAGCTCCGAGGCGACAAAGGCGATGCGGCCGACGTTCTTGTCGCGGTCCTCGCGGCTGAAGCCGAGCTCGGAGGACAGCTCGTGGCGGACCGTCTCGCCGAGGAGGAGCGAGACGGAGCGTCCGCCGCCCTGGTTGAGGGTGACCTGGAGGGCCTTTGCGATCTGGTCCTTTCCGCTGTTGAGCAGGCCGGTGAGGAAGATGGTGAAGCCCTTCTGGGCGGGGAGGGGGTTCTGCTCGCGCAGGACCTTGACGACCTCGGGGTAGGAGAACCAGGCGGGGATCTCCTTGCCGGTCTTGAGGCGGTTGCGGAGCTCGGTGCCCGAGATGTTGGCGGTGTGGGTGCCGGGAGCGATCTCGTTAGCGGGCTGGTACTCGTCGCGGTCGGGGATGTAGATCATCTCCTGGAACTCGACCATGGTGATGCCGAGCTCGTCAGAGTACTTCTGGACGGCGACCTGAGCGTCGTAGGGACCGTAGTGGTCCTTGCCGTTCTTGTTCTTGCCGGGGCCGGCGTGGTCGCGACCGACGATGAAGTGCGTGGCGCCGTGGTTCTTGCGAATGATGGCGTGCCAGATGGCCTCGCGGGGACCACCCATACGCATGGCCAGGGGTAGCAGAGCCAGGGCGGCCATGCCGTTGGGGTATCTGGGGAGAAGGGCCTTGTAGACACGGACGCGGGTGAAGTGGTCAATATCACCAGGCTTCGTCATGCCGACGACGGGATGGATGAGGACGTTAGCTTGTTGCGAACGGGCGGCGCGGACAGTGAGCTCTCTGTGGGCGCGGTGCATGGGGTTGCGAGTCTGGAAAGCGACGACCTTGTTCCAGCCGAGCTTCTCAAAGTGCTGCCTCAACTCCGCGGGAGTGACTAAATATTTTTTACACCCATCAGCCTCGATGTTCCGGCGGGACACGTTGGTGTGGTTGGAGATCGGGGTAAACTTACATCTAAGGTCGAGGAAGTCGTAGTGAGCAAGACGCTGGATAGCCTCGAGCTTACCACCGACGTAGAAGTCGTTGGTGTTAGTGAAAAGGTGCTTCACACCGGGGTGGGTGTCGTCGTCGCTGCCGAAGACCTCAATGGCCTCGACGGTTCTAGAGGGACATGTCAGCCAGAGCCAATCAATGCCTCCCAAAACAGATTGATAGACCTACCTGTCCGGCTTGTAGACATCCTCAACAGTGAGGATGGCCAGGTTGCGGTCGTCTCTGAGGTCGCGAAGGGTGATGCGCGCACCAGGCTTGATGGAGAGGGTGTCGATTTGCTGCTGGGAAACATCGAGGGTGATGGGCATGGAGAAGAGGTTGCCATCAGCGAGACGGTTATCCTTGACAACGCTGCACCAAGCATGTCAGTAATCAAAATCTCCATGGGGATATTTTGTTCGTGTCTTTAACGTACCCGTTGTAGTCCTTCTCGGTCATGAAACCTACAGAGATGCACCACAGTCAGTCCCGCTGTTCTTGGGCAAGCAACGTAATCGTGGGGATTTTTGCCCCTCCAAAAAAATCATGGCGGGGTCGCTTCCGCATCGCAACCCCACCACCGTCGTCGCGCAACGACGCAAAGGGGGGCCCTAGCAGCAGCAGCCCGAGCAGTAAACACGACGTACCTTCAAGGGGAGAGAAACCACCGTTGAGGATGAGCTCGAGATCACAGAGGTGGCGCTCGGTCAACAGGAGGGAAGGGAGCTTGTCAGCCTCGGCAAGCAATTCAGACTGGCGCGGCGCATCGCGGGCGAAAAGATCCTTGAGGACACCGCCGTGGGGAGAGTTGGCCATTGTGTGTATTGGAGGACGCGCGCAGCTTTAGAACAGGGCGCAGGTATTTGGGATCGTCGAGAGACACGCTCCAAACAATGTTCAGAGGGGAGAGAGAAAACACACAACGAATTGAGCCTGTAGCTTCTCGTCTTTGGGGAATATGGGTATAAAAAGGTAGGTGGGAGGGGATTCACGAATGGGTAGAAGAAACAGAAGGGCAAGCGGAGGAGGGAATCTGGCTAGGAGACGGGCGAGGGCAAAGGTGTCTTTTATTTTCCTCAGACAATGCGCAGATGCGGGCTCGGGCTCGACACGGAGAGAGACAAAGTCAGAAAGTGAGAGAATTGTCGC